ACACACATACAGCTCACACACACACAGTACACTAGCCGCACCCTCACAAACACACACAGCACCTTTAAAAAAAACACACAACACCCTCACACACACACACACACAAACAGCACCCTCACAAATACACGACACTCACACAAACAGCACCCTCACAGGACAAACATACACACACAAACACCCTCACATCACACTAACAGCACCCTCACACACAGCAGTGTATGTGTGTGTGTGTGTGTATCTATCTATATATATATATAGAGAGAGAGAGAGATACATACACACACACACACACACACGAGGCGTGTGTTTGTGCTTTAGGGTGCACACCCTAATGCAATAGGCTGCGCACGCCTATGATATGAATTACTAGTTACTTTACACAACACGGGTTTTCCGGTTCCTTGCCTTATAGTATTAGGATTTTGTTTTCTTTTACTACCTTTTCTATACCAGGTGCCCTCGAAGGCACCTTTCTTCCCCTCTCTTCTTTTACGTCTCTGTTTGATATCTACTATCAAGGCATGTATCTGCATGCTGGTTAAGTTAATAGGAGGTTACAAATGGATCTTCTTTAACTATACAATTTTTTCACAGCAATATGTCATACACCTTGAGACCGGAGAACCAACTGTATATATTGACAGACTTACTATTCAATTGCCATTTTATAGACTAGCTTATTTAGACTGTTTTTTGTCAAGCAGTATTTCCCTAGGCTGCAGTGTATAGCCATTCATTCTGTGTCAGTTTCTCCCTCCTTTTTTGACACATTATTACAACATTGTATCAGATCTCTTACGCTGCAAAGACAACCCAATGGGAAACTTCGTGATTTAGCTATACCAGAGGATTTTAGGGAGGATTTCCCTCCAACTTCCTTACATCTCGTTATGGCAAATTTATTTGCTTAGTCTTGTTTTAATGTTTTTTGTGATATATTTTTTATTTTCTCACCTTTTTGCTTGAACTGCCACAATTGACTTGTTTAAGTCAGGCAGTCATAGCTAGGGTTTTTGTGTGTGTTTTTCTGTGTTTTTATTAATAAAGTATCATAGATTTTGATTTATTGTTTGTTTTTTACCGCATGTCACACTGGACAGTGGAAGTTAGAACAGATTTATGCCTCCTTTTTTTGTTAATATTTATTTAGGGTTACCCCCTCACCTGTTTCTATAGCTCTAGGGACATTGATCTATTGGCCACCCTTTCATTTTTTTTCTCTAAAGACTTGACTAATAAAAGCACCTCTTAAGACAGAAAATTTCACATCCTTTTTGTTCTTACTGTAAAAATCCCATGCCTCTGCCTTAGACTAAATCTCCTTTCTTCCAGTCTAAATGTGTGACCTCGTGTCCTAACCTGTTTATGAAAAGATTTTCAGACTGATTTTAAGTTTGTACTGGCCCTGAATATATTTGTATAATGTTATATCTCCTCTGAGGCGCCATTTTTCCAAACTAAAGAGATTTACGTTTGTTAACCTTTCTTCATAACTAAAATGCTCAATTCCTTTTATCAATGTTGTAGCCTGTCTCTGCAGCTTTTCTAGTGCTATAATATCCTTGTTAGGAACAGGTGCCCAAAATTGCAGGGTGTGGTCTTACTGGTGATTTATGAAGAGGAAAAATTACATACTCATCCTGAGAATGAATTCCCCGATTTATACATGACAATACCTTACTGGCCTTAATGCAAATGTGGATGATTGCATTTGGTTCAAAAATGCCTGCATTGTATCAGGGGCGTACCTAGAGCATTTGGCACCCGGGGCGGATCCGCAGTAGCAGCACCCACCCAAAAACCCTGTAAAAAATGTTGAAGGTTTTCTCTCTTTTTTTTTTATAATTTGTAAACTTTGCAAAACCGCTGTCAGCCCCTCCTACAAAACCCTTGTCCTGCCCCGCCCCTCCTACAAAACCTCTGTCCTGCCCCTTCTACAAATCCTGTACTGCCCGTCTACAAAACCCCCGCAACCCCCTTCCACAAATCCCCTGCTTATCCCCCCTTATAAAGACTCCTGTCCCAATACAAACCCCCCACCCCCTTCTACAAAATCCCTGCAGCCCACACACACATTTACAGGCAGACAGTCACACACTCAGTTACAGACACAGTCACACACTCA